TGTAGTAGATTGTACGAGATAAACAAAGCATAACCAACTTCTCTATTTCAACAAGTACCTGCACAGGGACCTGAAAATGTGTGACAGTTTAGCAATATTTGATCTCGAATTGTGATATATTAAACCTGTTTAGGGGTTGAAATGAATGTTCGGTTAAAATCATCATTGGGGGTCGCATTTATACCAAACGTTGATCTAAACCGCTAAAACATGGAACCATAAGAAATACGAACAGCGATTAAATGAACAAATACAAAATATTCAATAGTGTCGTAAAACATTGATATGGAAACATACATATGCAAAGTACGTGTATCTCTCTCTCTTCACGTACAGGGCACTGCTAGGTTAGTTATCTATTTATCACACAAANATGCATGCACATTTGCTTCCAGGATGGCCTAGGGTCTGGCCCCACCCTTTGAGACATAGTCCATAGGTCATAACTTTGAAACGGTTCAGATCCCGACCCCAGAACTATATATACAAATGCTTGGCATAAAGAGACAAAAGTAGTCATGGTATTAGAATAGACCCGTGGGTCTGAATGAACCCCTTGGGATCAGTTTCTTAGTCACAGCATGGAAACAGCTGAGTATAAAGAGATGAATGCACATATTTCTTCCGGGATGGCCTTGGGGTCTGCCCCACCCTTGGAGACTTAACCAAAGGGTTATAACTTCGAAATTGTTAAGATCCCCACCCCAAAACTATGTATACAATTGTTGGGCATAAAGAGACGAACGAATGCAGTCATGATATTAGAATTGATCCTGGGGTCTGGCCACAGCCCTAGGGATCTAGTTTTTGAGTCACAGCTTGGAAACAGTTGAGATCCCCACCCCATAACTATGTATACAATTGTTGGGCATAAAGAGACGAACGAATGCAGTCATGATATTATAATTGACCCTGGGTCTAGCCACAACCCTATGCGCCTCTTGTTCCTTTAAAATTTGAGTTTTCTGTTATTGTATTTCCTGTCTTATTGGCGGCAATCTAGGAGTCATATATCATGATTTCGTACGTTTACCTTTATTCTAACCCGACCTTTGTTTACAGTTTTTATCGAACTAGATACCTCATTATTTACAACACCAGCGACAACATTGTTATTCATTGGCTACAAACAGGCACATGCTAAGTACATTCAAACACTTCCAACGATTTACAGACACGAAGACCTGGATTACTGTTACACTTTCGGATTGAATGGTACTCTTAATGACGTGATCGTTGGGCAAATATCATGGATATAGATGTGTCAGCATTTTTGCTAGTAAACTTGGACGCAGTACTTTTTGTATCAGGTATAAGTCCTAAACAGAAAATTAAAGTTGCCAGAAATCATATAGGCTGTGATCGAGGTTCGAACCCTACCGCTCCGATCAAATTACTATCGTTTTAACCCACAGTGCTGCCTAAGCAACAGCAGCTTCCTAGCCCAGTATAGTTATACCTAAAACGAAGGCAAAGTACCTGTATGTATGAAAAACTACACTGTTTTGCCTGCCATGCAACAAGGATCATTTAGCTTTAAAATGTTGTTTTTATCCGACATGAGTACCGAGGGGTATCTGCAGGCAATCCTGTCGTGTGCTGATGTTAACTGAAACGATATCCATATACAAAAAGAGAAATTCCACGGGTACAGAGAGCGACATGAGCGTTACCCCTGGAGTATCGAGGATGCTAGCTATGAGGCTTCAGTCTACATCATGTTACATCCGTCAACAGATCTAGATCTGGTGTTAAAATGGTTTAGCGGTTTAAAAGGGTTTAACGTCCTATCAACAACCAAGGTCATTTGAGGACGTGCCCTCATATGAACTGTGTATGCGTTTATGTGGGTATGAATGCTGGAGGCATGGTATGTTGATGTAATTGTCTCCTTATGATACATGTAACGTGGACCTGATGCCGACTTTATAGCGCTATCTCACTGAAATACCAGGCCTAAGGCACCCATCACAGTATACTATTGTTAAGGACTTTGTAATGTCCCGGCCTCTTACGATAATTCCTATTGCAATTAGGTGCATCAGATTTATTTTGGTAGCTTTTGTGTCCCCAAATAGAGGGCAAACACGCAGATTTCCAATTCTGCAATGGGTTCCCGATTAGTCACCCCGTTCAATCATGCATTGGGTAACAGCAGGTATGTCTGTTCTCAATCCCCGACCTGTCTGGTGTTGAGATTCAGGTATATCATTGTCCTGTTCAGTAAGACATCGCTATGTGTTAGTAGTCAATAATGGCAGTGTAAACAAATCGTTCCTAGATGTACGTCACATCCGGTTTAAAGGTTGTTAAAAATCACTTGATTTACTCTTAAAAGATTTTCATAAAATCTTTGGGGACTTGAACACTAGCCTTGGTGTGACGGTACACAGCCTGAATGTTGCCACATGTGACACAGAAAACACACTTCCGGAACATCTTGTGCCGGATCGAGGTTTAGTTTGCATGTAGCCCAAGTTTTCTCTGGCTTCAGTAAACACATGTGTATGGTGTAATATACACTGTTGTAGTAGATTGTACGAGATAAACAAAGCATAACCAACTTCTCTATTTCAACAAGTACCTGCACAGGGACCTGAAAATGTGTGACAGTTTAGCAATATTTGATCTCGAATTGTGATATATTAAACCTGTTTAGGGGTTGAAATGAATGTTCGGTTAAAATCATCATTGGGGGTCGCATTTATACCAAACGTTGATCTAAACCGCTAAAACATGGAACCATAAGAAATACGAACAGCGATTAAATGAACAAATACAAAATATTCAATAGTGTCGTAAAACATTGATATGGAAACATACATATGCAAAGTACGTGTATCTCTCTCTCTTCACGTACAGGGCACTGCTAGGTTAGTTATCTATTTATCACACAAATATATATCGACCCAATACAATCAGAGCAGAAGAATAACCAATCAGGGGCTTGTTTACGGCCGACATCTTGCAAAAATGTCAATAAGATAAGAAACATACGTGCACAGTGCGAAAGGCTTCATCATTGAAAATAGTTTGTAAAAGTAAACGAAAGAAAGTTCATAACACGTTATCAAAGTACATAACACGTTATCAAAGTACATAACACGTTATCAAAGTACATAACACGTTATCAAAGTACATAACACGTTATCAAAGTACATAACACGTTATCAAAGTACATAACACGTTATCAAAGTACATAACACGTTATCAAAGTACATAACACGTTATCAAAGTACATAACACGTTATCAAAGTACATAACACGTTATCAAAGTACATAACACGTTATCAAAGTACATAACACGTTATCAAAGTACATAACACGTTATCAAAGTACATAACACGTTATCAAAGTACATAACACGTTATCAAAGTACATAACACGTTATCAAAGTACATAACACGTTATCAAAGTACATAACACGTTATCAAAGTACATAACACGTTATCAAAGTACATAACACGTTATCAAAGTACATAACACGTTATCAAAGTACATAACACGTTATCAAAGTACATAACACGTTATCAAAGTACATAACACGTTATCAAAGTACATAACACGTTATCAAAGTACATAACACGTTATCAAAGTACATAACACGTTATCAAAGTACATAACACGTTATCAAAGTACATAACACGTTATCAAAGTACATAACACGTTATCAAAGTACATAACACGTTATCAAAGTACATAACACGTTATCAAAGTACATAACACGTTATCAAAGTACATAACACGTTATCAAAGTACATAACACGTTATCAAAGTACATAACACGTTATCAAAGTACATAACACGTTATCAAAGTACATAACACGTTATCAAAGTACATAACACGTTATCAAAGTACATAACACGTTATCAAAGTACATAACACGTTATCAAAGTACATAACACGTTATCAAAGTACATAACACGTTATCAAAGTACATAACACGTTATCAAAGTACATAACACGTTATCAAAGTACATAACACGTTATCAAAGTACATAACACGTTATCAAAGTACATAACACGTTATCAAAGTACATAACACGTTATCAAAGTACATAACACGTTATCAAAGTACATAACACGTTATCAAAGTACATAACACGTTATCAAAGTACATAACACGTTATCAAAGTACATAACACGTTATCAAAGAAAAACAAGCATACTTCGAACTCAAAATCGATGAAACTATGACAGAATATGAACAATTAAACTATTTACATGGAGATCGTTGAAATGCACAAGGATAACAAGACCAATACGTGTTCCTACCGTTATCACTGATAACCGAGAATGTCCATGCAGTCAGTACAATACCGATTTCATTTAAATATTGATTGACGTTTTTATGTCTAAGAAGGTGACACTGTAAACATGAATGATCAATGTCTTATCGGTTTACGAAAGGCGAGTGTACTTAAGGAAAGGCTTGTAACCTCCAATCAACACAGGTGACGCAAAATCTCGTGTAAAAACGAGACAAGCAACACAGCCCAGATTAGAGTTAGAATGTTTAAATGGGTGAATCTAGAGGTTATCGAAATGTCAATTATGCATCACATTCATTTATCTATTTTGTTTTCCAAAATAACCACTCCCTGCCGGTACCTCAGGTAATCTCACTTACACTCCCTGCCGGTACCTCGGGTAATCTTACTTTCGCTCTCTGCACACCTGGATTATCACTTGGCTGGTACCTGTCCTTTGAAGATTACAGAGAAGCGTCACCCGATTTCAAAGCCACTCAATTTTACCGATACGCGACCGCGATATTCTGTTGATGTACATTAAAGGATTAAACTAGTCTTCTTGACTCATCCAAAAGATGACAAGCACTGAACCTTAGAGTTTGCTATGGAATATTACAGGGCGCAGAGAGCTTAAGTGAGCTTAATCAAGGATTAGCTAATCGGTGATATCTGCCTTTGGTAATAGAATATATATGTACAATGATGATATTCTTTATTCGATATTTTATTTTCTCTTTCCTTTGTAGATCTCTCCCTCGCTTCAGTATCACAGCCTGACCTAGATTTCATATCGTCTAACCTTGATATCAAAGTCAAGGTTGAGGATAATCTCGAGTATGATGGCGGGAGACACAAATTTGTCATCACACTAAAAAACGCCGGAAACCAGCATATCAGGGGAGATAACTGGACAATATACTTTTATAGCTTTTTCATGTTGGAGGGTGAACACCTCCCTCGCCCCGGAGGGTACGAAGTTCCAGGTCAAGGGGTCAGATTACATCATGTGACCGGATGTCTCTTCGGTATGGCGCCTACAGCAACCTTTGCTAGCCTGAATTCAATGGAAACCAGAGAAGTTGTGTTTTTTGGCGACAATTGGGCAGTAAGTAGGTCGGACGTACCCCCGAACTGGTACATAGCATCTGACGGGTTAGAAAGTAGACTTATAAATAGTACAGCATTCGGAAGTCGCTTTGTTGAGGATTTTACCTCCGTCAGACAGTGGAAGCGGTACAGAACAGATCAGTATAATCCGTACACACCACGTGATCGGACCACGAGGTACGGAGAGAACACGGCGGGACAGTCAACAAAGAAACAATACATCATACCAACACCAAAACGTATCACAGAAACCAGCAGCCAATTTGTCAGCGTGCGAACCGGAACTTGGCAAATACGGACCGGAAGTAAAGAAACTGCCCCAGAAGGAAAATACCTGGGAGGTAAGTCACTGCAAGCGGCGTTTCTATATTAAGGTGCTGATTTTATGTAGCCCCGCTGTTTTTTTGTTTTTGTTTTTACTTTAAACATATTTTATTGTCCAAAATTGGTACAAAGGATTTGACACAAGTTATAGCAACTTATGAAGCCATTTCCTATCAACAAAATAATTTCATATACATGTATATACAAGCTGTTTCTCTCCCTTTTTCAATGGACTGTTTTCTCGGCGAGTAGATTTTTTGGAATCTTTCCGGGGCACTTTTGTTGGAAGGTGTCAAGTAGTTTGTCATCTCCCTTTGTCATTGTCCATGCATCGCAGCTGTTTAGGAGCATCGCTATAATGAACAGCATTATTCTAGTTTTCCCGTTAATTTGGTTCATTCTTCAGATCTTAATTCGTTTGTGTAATGCTTCTCTTGTCTGATAGATTCTCCTTCTTCGATGACAATCTTCGTTTAGCCTCCTGTCTTACTAACCATTACTCTCAAGTACAGCGTAGCTGTACATTCACGTTATCTTACGTCTGTTCACTGGTGCTGGATAATATAGGGATCTCATCTGCAAAGTCTAGATATTCTAACTTTGTTGTCGTTTTCCATCTTATGCCCGTATTGTTACTAGCTGTTATTTCGTATTATCTATTATGAGGAGAAACAAACATCCTGATATATAAACCCCCTGGTTTTACACCAGTTTTCACACCTTACCATTCTGTTCCATCTATTACTCCACTTTAACTGTCTTCGTACAGAATTTGGTCACATCGTGCGCCCCTTCATGTTTCCGTTGTTTGCCGTTTCTTGTGCTTCTTTTGCCCCGCCTGTCACCACACAAACAAGTAACAATTACTGTCCCACCACTGTCACCACACAGACAAGTTACAATTGCAGTCTTAGAAGACTTGATCTTATCCTTTCTGATTTTGCATCATCACCTTTGTTCTTTAATACTCACCTCTCAGTTACTCGCTACCAGGACGAATCCATTCTTGATTTCTCTTTTTTTCTATACCCTTGTATGTTTCGTTGCATATTTTCTTGATTTCATACACGATGTTTGTGTATGTCTTTGTGTTTTAACATGGGTGGTGTTATAGGACTGTAGGAATACTGTTTATAAAATGTTTATATACTATAAAGGTATGCAGTTTATTCATATTTTATATGTAGTGTATGTTTACCGCCAGTAGTATATTGGATATATAAACTAATATGTACACTTCTATAATTGTAGATCTCATTCATTTGCCTTTTAACGACTCCAATGTGAAAGTGAGAAACACAATATTTCTCGACCTTGACCCGACCCTGACTGTCTCCCCCGAAAGTTACGTACTGACCGTCAATCGAGATGAGGGGACCGTCGTTATCCTGGCGAATCACAAGGCTGGTCTCTTTTATGGTGGTCAGTCATTGGCCAGTCTTCTGGCTGGTAATGACGACGAGCAGATACCGGAAATCACCATCTCAGATGAACCTCACTTTGAATTTCGTGGAATGTACATTGATCTTGCAAGAAACTTCCACGATAAGAATGACCTCATGCGATTAATGACCGCTATGGCAGCGTACAAACTGAACAAGTTACACCTCCATCTTGCTGATGACGAGGGTTGGAGAATAGAAATCCCAGGACTTCCGGAACTCACTCAGGTATTCGTATATATGTATCAAGATCAAATGTCATTGTCATGTTTTCAGTACTGTATATTTTAGTGGCAGTGTTCTTTTATAAATGAGGTTTGGGACACGATTCGTGTATAAACCTGCTTTAGTTTTCATATGTTCTATTTTTGCATTATAGGTAGCTTCAAATCGTTGTCATGATCCCAATGAGGACCAATGTCTATGGCCTCAACTTGGCTCTGGTCCTCATAACGTCACCTCAGGCTCAGGATTTCTTACTAAGGAAGACTATCTAGAAATCGTGCGCTTTGCCAACGAGCGCCACATAGAAGTGATTCCGGAAGTAGATACACCTGGACATGCTCGCGCAGCTATTATCGCGATGGAAAAACGATTCCGGAACTTAGAGCCGAGTAACGTCACGGCTGCGTCTGAGTTCCGCCTTATCGACCCGGATGATACATCACGTTATTTTTCAGTACAGATGTTTTCAGACAACGCCATTAACCCGTGTATCAACTCCACGTACAGATTTATCGCCAAGGTTATGGATGAGATACAAGAGATGCACGTACAGGCCGGCCAGCCATTGAACATTTACCACTACGGCGGAGACGAAGTTCCGTTGGGTGCTTGGGTAAATTCTACCGCTTGTAAGAATATCCTGTCGGTACTTCCGCCTAGTGATGACTCCAAGTACCTTAAACTTTATTTCCTTAACAAAACTTCAGAACTTGCATTCAACCGTAACCTATCATTATCAGGCTGGGAGGATGGCTGGATGGATGGGGCGGGGAACCCATTTCGTAGAAACATGTTCCAGAACGGTGCCGTAATGGCCAATGCCTGGGACAACGTGTGGGAATGGGGAGCTGCCAAACGGGCTTATAGCCTAGCCAATCAAGGTTACAAGGTAAAGTCACGTTTCAAAAATAAACTTGTTAAAGGTAAAAGAATATCAAGTGGAAAAGATGCAACATTAAATGTATTGACTACTCAGTTGACAGTGTAGTTAACTTATTTGTCAGCTTCTTTGATTTTCTGTCCTATCTCTGTGCTAGGTGGTACTGTCCCACGTGACCCATCTGTACTTCGACCACCCGTACGAACCTGACCCGGAAGAGAGAGGCCTGTACTGGGGCCCGAGGTTCACCGACACATTCAAAACATTTGGCTACGTAACTAGTGACATGTTCAAAAACGTCGACGTGAAAAGATCAGGGGAGATAATCACAAAAGCAGAAGTTTGTAAGCAGGACAACTCTGGATGCCCACCGTTAAAAAGACCAGAAAATATCATAGGTGAGTTTGACGTTATAACAGGTAATATTGGTGGTGTTATATGTGATATGATATTGAGGATGTGACAGGTGATATCGATGGTGCGGCAGTTAACATGGACAGTGTACACATAGCAGGTGATATGGACGGTGATTCAATGATTCAATGATATTGGCGGTATGGAAGGTGCTTTTTACGGATTCAGAGGTGAGTTTAGTGGATTTACATGTGAAATTGACTGTATGACATGTGATATTGGCTGTATGACATGTGATATTTGCTGTATGACATGTGATATTGGCTGTGTGACATGTGATATTGGCGTAATGACGGAAGGTTTGTCAACTGACAGGTGAGTTTAGCGTTATACCTATAAAACTGGAGACGTTGGTGGTTTTAGATATAACGATTGACCGATTGATGTATCACAATACACGTCTTCCTCTAGATCAATACACAGTTACCATGTCATTTTAGGTCTCCAAGGACATTTATGGTCCGAAACTGTGCTATCCAGTCAACTGTTCGACTACATGATTTTTCCGCGACTTTTGGCTGTGGCGGAAAGAGGTTGGCACCGGGCATCATGGGAAGACATTGATGACGAGTCGGACCGGAGGTCAGCCATTATGGCCGACTGGAAAGTATTTGCTGAAAGTCTCGGAACGAAGGAGCTCAGTCGTCTGGATGCACAGGGCATCCAATACCGCGTTCCTCCACCGGGAGCTAGGTATTTCTTTTAAATATGTTTAGTGCATTCATTTGCCTTTGTTTATGCGCTTTTCTTCGGAGAAATAGCAATGTATCCTGCTATTACACGTGATTTATCATTGCGATCACACTTTACGGTAAGCTGATTTGCATGACCGCTGAAATCACAGTTGTCTCATGTTGGTCTATGTGGAGAATATTCCTCAACCGTAACAATACTTGTAATAGTCGATTTCATTGTGAAACATAACACAAACGAAGTATTTGTTTTCAACATACGATTGTGTATCATATTTTATGATTTGACGTTTATTATCATATTTCAGAATTGAGAACGACATTGTTTTCCCGACTGTAACTTTCCAAGGACTTTCGGTTGAGTACAAACGCAATGACCAATCAAACTGGATGGTATCGACTTCACAGGGTGTGCATTTCAACAGAAGTGACATAATCTATCTAAGAACCAGGTAATATATATAAGGGATATGGTGATGTAATGTCAAAGAAAATAAACTCGAAGTGGTCTGTGTTGTGACAGTGACGGGACAGTAATTGGTACTTGTCTGTGTGGTGACAGTGGTGGGACTGTTATTATTACATTTCTGTGTGGTGACAGTGGTGGGACTGTAATTTTTACTTGTCCTTGTGGTGACAGTGGTGGGACTGTAATCGTTACTTGTTTTTGTGGTGACAGTGGTTGGCCTGTAATTGTTACTTGTCTTTGTGGTGACAGGGGTGGGGCTGTAATTGTTACTGTGTGGTGACAGTGGTGGGTCTGTAATTGTTACTTGTTTTTGTGGTGAGAGAGGTGGGGCTGTAATTGTTACTTGTCTTTGTGGGGACAGTGGTGGGACTGTAATTATTACTTGTCTTTGTGGTGACGGTGGTGGGAGTGTAATTGTTACTTGTTTTTGTGGTGACAGTGGTGGGACTGTAATTGTTACTTGTTTTTGTGGTGAGAGTGGTGGGGCTGTAATTGTTACTTGTCTTTGTGGTGACAGTGGTGGGACTGTAATTGTTACTTGTTTTTGTGGTGACAGTGGTGGGGCTGTAATTATTACTGTTTGGTGACAGTGGTGGGGCTGTAATTGTTACTGTGTGGTGACAGTGGTGGGCCTGTAATTGTTACTTGTCTTTGTGGTGACAGTGGTGGGGCTGTAATTGTAACTGTTTGGTGACAGTGGTGGGTCTGTGATTGTTTCTGTGTTGTAATAGTGGTGGGACTGTAATTGTTACTGTGTGGGGACAGTGGTGGGATTGTAATTGTTACTGTGTGGTGACAGTGGTGGGTCTGTAATTGTTAATGTGTGGTGACAGTGGCGGGACTGTAATTGTTTCTTGTCTGTGTGGTGACAGTGGTGGGACTGTAATTGTTGCTGTGTGGTGACAGTGGTGGGACTGTAATTGTTACTATGTGGTGACAGTGGAGGGACTGTAATTGTTACTTGTCTTTGTGGTGACGGGGGTGGGACTGTAATTGTTACTTGTCTTTGGGGTGACGGTGGTGGGACTGTAATTGTTACTTGTCTTTGGGGTGACGGTGGTGGGACTGTAATTGTTACTTGTGTTTGTGGTGACAGTGGTGGGCCTGTAATTGTTACTTGTCTTTGTGGTGACGATGGTGGGACTGTAATTGTTACTTGTCTTTGTGGTGAGAGTGGTGTGACTGTAATTGTTACTTGTCCTTGTGGTGACAGTGGAGGGACTGTAATTGTTACTTGTCTTTGTGGTGAGAGGGGGGTGACTGTAATTGTTACTTGTCTTTGTGGTGACAGTGATGGGACTGTAATTGTTAATGTGTGGTGACAGTGGTGGGATTGTAATTGTTAATGTGTGGTGACAGTGGTGGGGTTGTAATTGTTAATGTGTGGTGACAGTGGTGGGGTTGTAATTGTTAATGTGTGGTGACAGTGGTGGGGCTGTAATTGTTACTGTGTGGTGACAGTGGTTGGACTGTCATTGTTAATGTGTGGTGACAGTGGCGGGGCTGTAATTGTTACTGTGTGGTGACAGTGGTAGGACTGTAATTGTTACTGTGTGGTGACAGTGGTTGGACTGTCATTGATACTGTGTGGTGACAGTGGTGGGATTGTAATTGTTAATGTGTGGTGACAGTGGCGGGACTGTAATTGTTAATGTGTGGTGACAGTGGGGGGACTGTAATTGTTTCTGTGTGGTGACAGTGGTGGGCCTGTAATTGTTAATGTGTGGTGACAGTGGTGGGGTTGTAATTGTTAATGTGTGGTGACAGTGGCGGGGCTGTAATTGTTACTGTGTGGTGACAGTGGTGGGCCTGTAATTGTTACTTATCTTTGTGGTGAGGATGGTGTGACTGTAATTGTTACTTGTCTTTGTGGTGACAGTGGTGGGGCTGTTATTGTAACTGTTTGGTGACAGTGGTGGGGCTGTGATTGTTTCTGTGTTGTAATAGTGGCGGGACTGTAATTGTTACTGTGTGGGGACAGTGGTGGGATTGTAATTGTTACTGTGTGGTGACAGTGGCGGGACTGTAATTGTTACTGTGTGGTGACAGTGTAGGGACTGCCATTGTTACTGTGTGGTGACAGTGGTGGGACTGTCATTGTTAATGTGTGGTGACAGTGGTGGGACTGTAATTGTTACTGTGTGGTGACAGTGGTGGGATTGTCATTGCTAATGTGAGGTGACAGTGGTGGGACTGTAATTGTTACTCTGTGGTGACAGTGGTGGGACTGTAATTGTTACTGTGTGGTGACAGTGGTGGGACTGTAATTGTTACTGTGTGGTGACAGTGGTGGGACTGTAATTGTTACTGTGTGGTGACAGTGGTGGGACTGTAATTGTTACTGTGTGGTGACAGTGGTGGGACTGTAATTGTTACTGTGTGGTGACAGTGGTGGGACTGTAATTGTTACTGTGTGGTGACAGTGGTGGGACTGTAATTGTTACTGTGTGGTGACAGTGGTGGGACTGTAATTGTTACTGTGTGGTGACAGTGGTGGGACTGTAATTGTTACTGTGTGGTGACAGTGGTGGGACTGTAATTGTTACTGTGTGGTGACAGTGGTGGGACTGTAATTGTTACTGTGTGGTGACAGTGGTGGGACTGTCATTGTTACTGTGTGGTGACAGTGGTGGGACTGTAATTGTTACTGTGTGGTGACAGTGGTGGGACTGTAATTGTTACTGTGTGGTGACAGTGGTGGGACTGTAATTGTTACTGTGTGGTGACAGTGGTGGGACTGTAATTGTTACTGTGTGGTGACAGTGGTGGGACTGTAATTGTTACTGTGTGGTGACAGTGGTGGGACTGTAATTGTTACTGTGTGGTGACAGTGGTGGGACTGTAATTGTTACTGTGTGGTGACAGTGGTGGGACTGTAATTGTTACTGTGTGGTGACAGTGGTGGGACTGTAATTGTTACTGTGTGGTGACAGTGGTGGGACTGTAATTGTTACTGTGTGGTGACAGTGGTGGGACTGTAATTGTTACTGTGTGGTGACAGTGGTGGGACTGTAATTGTTACTGTGTGGTGACAGTGGTGGGACTGTAATTGTTACTGTGTGGTGACAGTGGTGGGACTGTAATTGTTACTGTGTGGTGACAGTGGTGGGACTGTAATTGTTACTGTGTGGTGACAGTGGTGGGACTGTAATTGTTACTGTGTGGTGACAGTGGTGGGACTGTAATTGTTACTGTGTGGTGACAGTGGTGGGACTGTAATTGTTACTGTGTGGTGACAGTGGTGGGACTGTAATTGTTACTGTGTGGTGACAGTGGTGGGACTGTAATTGTTACTGTGTGGTGACAGTGGTGGGACTGTAATTGTTACTGTGTGGTGACAGTGGTGGGACTGTAATTGTTACTGTGTGGTGACAGTGGTGGGACTGTAATTGTTACTGTGTGGTGACAGTGGTGGGACTGTAATTGTTACTGTGTGGTGACAGTGGTGGGACTGTCATTGTTACTGTGTGGTGACAGTGGTGGGACTGTAATTGTTACTGTGTGGTGACAGTGGTGGGACTGTAATTGTTACTGTGTGGTGACAGTGGTGGGACTGTAATTGTTACTGTGTGGTGACAGTGGTGGGACTGTAATTGTTACTGTGTGGTGACAGTGGTGGGACTGTAATTGTTACTGTGTGGTGACAGTGGTGGGACTGTAATTGTTACTGTGTGGTGACAGTGGTGGGACTGTAATTGTTACTGTGTGGTGACAGTGGTGGGACTGTAATTGTTACTGTGTGGTGACAGTGGTGGGACTGTAATTGTTACTGTGTGGTGACAGTGGTGGGACTGTAATTGTTACTGTGTGGTGACAGTGGTGGGACTGTAATTGTTACTGTGTGGTGACAGTGGTGGGACTGTAATTGTTACTGTGTGGTGACAGTGGTGGGACTGTAATTGTTACTGTGTGGTGACAGTGGTGGGACTGTAATTGTTACTGTGTGGTGACAGTGGTGGGACTGTAATTGTTACTGTGTGGTGACAGTGGTGGGACTGTAATTGTTACTGTGTGGTGACAGTGGTGGGACTGTAATTGTTACTGTGTGGTGACAGTGGTGGGACTGTAATTGTTACTGTGTGGTGACAGTGGTGGGACTGTAATTGTTACTGTGTGGTGACAGTGGTGGGACTGTAATTGTTACTGTGTGGTGACAGTGGTGGGACTGTAATTGTTACTGTGTGGTGACAGTGGTGGGACTGTAATTGTTACTGTGTGGTGACAGTGGTGGGACTGTAATTGTTACTGTGTGGTGACAGTGGTGGGACTGTAATTGTTACTGTGTGGTGACAGTGGTGGGACTGTAATTGTTACTGTGTGGTGACAGTGGTGGGACTGTAATTGTTACTGTGTGGTGACAGTGGTGGGACTGTAATTGTTACTGTGTGGTGACAGTGGTGGGACTGTAATTGTTACTGTGTGGTGACAGTGGTGGGACTGTAATTGTTACTGTGTGGTGACAGTGGTGGGACTGTAATTGTTACTGTGTGGTGACAGTGGTGGGACTGTAATTGTTACTGTGTGGTGACAGTGGTGGGACTGTAATTGTTACTGTGTGGTGACAGTGGTGGGACTGTCATTGTTACTGTGTGGTGACAGTGGTGGGACTGTAATTGTTACTGTGTGGTGACAGTGGTGGGACTGTAATTGTTACTGTGTGGTGACAGTGGTGGGACTGTAATTGTTACTGTGTGGTGACAGTGGTGGGACTGTAATTGTTACTGTGTGGTGACAGTGGTGGGACTGTAATTGTTACTGTGTGGTGACAGTGGTGGGACTGTAATTGTTACTGTGTGGTGACAGTGGTGGGACTGTAATTGTTACTGTGTGGTGACAGTGGTGGGACTGTAATTGTTACTGTGTGGTGACAGTGGTGGGACTGTCATTGTTACTGTGTGGTGACAGTGGTGGGACTGTCATTGTTACTGTGTGGTGACAGTGGTGGGACTGTCATTGTTACTGTGTGGTGACAGTGGTGGGACTGTAATTGTTTCTGTGTTGTAATAGTGGTGGGACTGTCATTGTTACTGTGTGGTGACAGTGGTGGGACTGTAATTGTTACTGTGTGGTGACAGTGGTGGGACTGTCATTGTTACTGTCGACGGTGACATATTATAAACACATGTTTTCTTTAGCTTTTTATTTATTCACAGAGCACAGTTTGTTGTGTTTGATGTGATACATTCACATTTATAAACCGATAATACTGAAATATAATCACACATATTGCTGGTTACAAATAAAAGAAGCCGCCATATATATCTGGCTTTGCACATGTATACCTATTTAAAACCTTAAGTCAACAGCAAAGTTTTTATCTAATATATACACCACTATCCGATATACATCGTTGTAAAGTTGATGCATCCATTAAACCTACCTCCGTTTTCTTAATCTCTGTATGAAATCAACAATTTCTGTATATGCACACACTCCAACGAAACTTCCCTAAATGAATCTGTTGGTAACTAATGCAGCACTCAGATAACCGGACTTGTATTATATGACAAACTGAGAAATTGGTTACATGGACTGTGAAATAAGCTCTCACAATACACTCCTGATTCTGCGTCAGAAGGAGAAACTGAACATTGCTCTTGAAATGTATTGTGTACATTGTACTTTTAAGGTGCATCAAATGGTCGTTTGATTTCTTATTAAATCAAAATAAACTGTACCGTTTCCGTTTTAGTTTAGTCAAATATTACTTTATCATTGTTGGTTTGTTGCCATAAAACGAATAGCTTTTTGCTGTTTATAAAAAATGAGTTCGGTTGAATTGTCATCATTTAGGAAGCCACAAACAGGTCGATCAATAATGTATGTACTCATACAAATGGTATTTATAAAAGAAAAACGATCTTATGTATTTCGGGAGGGCTGATAGGTTATTGCTATCCAAAGTTTGTATCTGGCATCTACCATGTACTCTATGTAAATACTTGATTTCCAGGTCAGCCAACGATAGTAGGACGAGCAGAGTTGTGACAGTGAAGACAGGTAAGGTCACTTTGGTTCCAGATAGATCCCTATTATTCCAAGTAAGATCGCAAGTCTCAATCATTCCGAGTAAGGTCACAGGTCACTATTGTTCATGTCTTGAGTCACTATGATTGCAAGTGAGGTTATGGGTCTCTTTAATTCAAGGTCACGTTACGTGTCTATTTGATTCAAGGTCACGTCACGTGTCTATTTGATTCCTTCTTCAATACTCACGCGTTATGATCTGAAACGGGTTTGTGATATCTATTTCGATTAGTAAAAACTGAAACAAACTTTTTTGAACAAGTGACAAGTTTTATCAAGTACATATATATAATAATATAAAGGGTTTACACTACTTTATAATAGTATAAAGGGTTTACACTACTTTATCATAGTATAAAGGGTTTACGCTACTTTATAATAGTATAAAGGGTTTACACTACTTGTGCTATGCTGATATGAATATTTCAACAAGTTCGATCTTTTAATTGCTAGTGTTATGTGGAAATTGTTTTGCCTTCCGGCTTGTAGGCCCGAAATGACCTTGTGTCAAAAGGCCGTAAAGATTTAGCAAACAAACTCAATGATTCAATATAATGATCCCATGTAGGGTTAAAGGTCATTAGTATGCAGGTTAAGGTCAAAGGTCACTAAGATCAAGGAAAAGTGAAAAGTCCCTTGATTCAGGATAAGGTCACAAGCCACGGTGAATAATGCATTGTCGGACTTTCACTTAGGTTGTCGAACATAGACGCCACGATGACAATTATTCCAATCGTATTTATCCGAGACATCATTAATTATCTCTGGGTTAGGTGGGATCTACGGCCTCATAGACCCCGAGCCGAAGGCGAGGAGTCTATGAATATCAAAGGGGTCTATGAGCCAGTAGACCCCTCCTAATCCTGAGATAACGAATTTGTCACCCTGACAATCATTTATTACTTTTTTTCTGCAAAATTATAAGTCTCTTTGTGAGTTTGAGTTGTACTTGACTGCTACCAAAATAGCCCTTACCGGACACCTGTCCGGCAATATTGCGGACAATTCGCAATCATCTTTGTAATTAGCAACCCTAGTGGCCCCTCATTGCTTGTAGCAACCCTAGTGGCCCCTCATTGCTTGTAGCAACCCTAGTGGCCCCTCATTGCTTGTAGCAACCCTAGTGGCCCCTCATTGCTTGTAGCAACCCTAGTGGCCCCTCATTGCTTGTAGCAACCCTAGTGGCCCCTCATTGCTTGTAGCAACCCTAGTGGCCCCTCATTGCTTGTAGCAACCCTAGTGGCCCCTCATTGCTTGTAGCAACCCTAGTGGCCCCTCATTGCTTGTAGCAACCCTAGTGGCCCCTCATTGCTTGTAGCAACCCTAGTGGCCCCTCATTGCTTGTAGCAACCCTAGTGGCCCCTCATTGCTTGTAGCAACCCTAGTGGCCCCTCATTGCTTGTAGCAACCCTAGTGGCCCCTCATTGCTTGTAGCAACCCTAGTGGCCCCTCATTGCTTGTAGCAACCCTAGTGGCCCCTCATTGCTTGTAGCAACCCTAGTGGCCCCTCATTGCTTGTAGCAACCCTAGTGGCCCCTCATTGCTTGTAGCAACCCTAGTGGCCCCTCATTGCTTGTAGCAACCCTAGTGGCCCCTCATTGCTTGTAGCAACCCTAGTGGCCCCTCATTGCTTGTAGCAACCCTAGTGGCCCCTCATTGCTTGTAGCAACCCTAGTGGCCCCTCATTGCTTGTAGCAACCCTAGTGGCCCCTCATTGCTTGTAGCAACCCTAGTGGCCCCTCATTGCTTGTAGCAACCCTAGTGGCCCCTCATTGCTTGTAGCAACCCTAGTGGCCCCTCATTGCTTGTAGCAACCCTAGTGGCCCCTCATTGCTTGTAGCAACCCTAGTGGCCCCTCATTGCTTGTAGCAACCCTAGTGGCCCCTCATTGCTTGTAGCAACCCTAGTGGCCCCTCATTGCTTGTAGCAACCCTAGTGGCCCCTCATTGCTTGTAGCAACCCTAGTGGCCCCTCATTGCTTGTAGCAACCCTAGTGGCCCCTCATTGCTTGTAGCAACCCTAGTGGCCCCTCATTGCTTGTAGCAACCCTAGTGGCCCCTCATTGCTTGTAGCAACCCTAGTGGCCCCTCATTGCTTGTAGCAACCCTAGTGGCCCCTCATTGCTTGTAGCAACCCTAGTGGCCCCTCATTGCTTGTAGCAACCCTAGTGGCCCCTCATTGCTTGTAGCAACCCTAGTGGCCCCTCATTGCTTGTAGCAACCCTAGTGGCCCCTCATTGCTTGTAGCAACCCTAGTGGCCCCTCATTGCTTGTAGCAACCCTAGTGGCCCCTCATTGCTTGTAGCAACCCTAGTGGCCCCTCATTGCTTGTAGCAACCCTAGTGGCCCCTCATTGCTTGTAGCAACCCTAGTGGCCCCTCATTGCTTGTAGCAACCCTAGTGGCCCCTCATTGCTTGTAGCAACCCTAGTGGCCCCTCATTGCTTGTAGCAACCCTAGTGGCCCCTCATTGCTTGTAGCAACCCTAGTGGCCCCTCATTGCTTGTAGCAACCCTAGTGGCCCCTCATTGCTTGTAGCAACCCTAGTGGCCCCTCATTGCTTGTAGCAACCCTAGTGGCCCCTCATTGCTTGTTTCGTTGTTTAAGATTGCTTGTAGGCTTTTACATCCTGTGAATGATTGGCAAACCTCGTGTGTGTGTCGAACGCCTTCTTTGTCGTTATGAAGAAAGATTCTAGTTTGGGTTATCTCCCCTGCACGTGCTTTTAGAGTGGGGTCTATAGAAATATAGACCCCGGTTCTATAGACCCGGCAAGATATCCAATCAGAAAGTGTGTTACAAATCAGAAGGGTGACAATATTAAATGAGTCATCTACCAAGTTTGACATAGCCTCAGCAGATCAAATGGAACCATATTATTTGTTTGTATTCTCACTGAGCCACACTCACTTCCGTAACATGTGGTAAACGTTCACTGCATTCAAGATTTAAGTCCGAATCATAATATGCCTTTAGAATATATATATTCGTACATATTCCCTCTACCTTTCGGATTTTCGCAGACCTGACTATCAAGGTATTTTTTTCTCTTTTCTACCTCAGTTGTACATTTGTCACTAGGTATTTCTGACAACCCTTCAGTTTAATACTGAAGCTTATCAGCTCAGCGTTCTCCCCAGTAAACCCCAATCCCTACTAATTGATCTCCACAGGATTTGAAACTCTAAAACCACATTAACAAACTAGATTAGTATTCATTTCTGAGCGTGGTCCTTCACAACTAGGTGTGGAGATATTTCACAGGGAATATGTTGCTGCTAACAACTGTCCACGTATCAGACTAGTTTGTCTTATACTTAAATAAGACGTCTGTGCGGTCTTCAATCTGATATTAAAGCTTGTATACTACATGTATATGCGGTCTATAACCAATATATATATATATATATATTACCTACATTGTATATTGCAGACTAATCTAATTAATACACTATTCTATGGGAGTTATCCCCCTTCCCCCACCCACACCATATTTTATATAATAACCTCTTAATTATGCAAATATCTAATTTGATTTACAAACGTTAATTTTTGACAGTAAGCAAAATATTATTATTGGAGAGGACTTATATAGGCTATAAGCTTGTTGTCCAATCCTTTTGACAGTGTAACATTATTCTATTTCAATAAAATATGTTGAAATAAAAAAAAAAAAAATAAGACGTCTGCTATAATACTCAGCCACCTAGTTCTGACCTTGTGATAGACATAAGTCACGATTACTGAAGATAGTGTATGACCCCAGTGTTAATCTAATAGAACACTCCTTCATATTCTTTCATCCACATCAACCAGCTATATCTCTCGGCCAGTTTCAATATTCTCCATCGTCAAATCTGTTTAAGATCATTCTCCTGTAATACGTGTTAATACAAAAATACACAGAAAACTCGTTTACCTTGAACTTTTCCATATTTTGACATCCTCTACTTTTCCCTGTCAGTAGATGACATTGTAGATAACCCTCGATTCTTACCATCCTCTACTTTTCCCTGTAAGTAGAGGACATTGTACATAACCCTCGATTCTTACCATCTTCTCCTTTTCCCTGTAAGTAGAGGACATTGTAGATAACACTCGACTCTTATCATATTCTACTTTTCGCTGTCAGTAGAGGACATTGTAGATAACCCACGATTCTTACCATCCTCTACTTTTCCCTGCAAGAAGAGGACATTGTAGATAACCATCGATTCTTACCATCCTTTACTTTTACCTGTAAGTAGAGGACATTGTAGATAATCCTCTATTCTTACCATCCTCTACTTTTCCCTGTAAGAAGAGGACATTGTAGATAACCATCGATTCTTACCATCCTCTTCTTTTCCCTGTAAGTAGAGGACATTGTAGATAATCCTCTATTCTTACCATCCTCTACTTTTCCCTGTAAGTAGAGGACATTGTAGATAACACTCGACTCTTATCATATTCTACTTTTCCCTGTAAGTAGAGGACATTGTACATAACCCTCGATTCTTACCATCTTCTACTTTTCCCTGTAAGTAGAGGACATTGTAGATAATCCTCGATTCTTATCATCCTCCACTTTTCCCTGTAAGTAGAGTACATTGTAGATAACCCTCGATTCTTACCATCCTTTACTTTTACCTGTAAGTAGAGGACATTGTAGATAATCCTCGATTTTTACCATCCTCTACTTTTCCCTGTAAGTAGAGGACATTGTAGATAACCCTCGATTCTAACCATCCTCTACTTTTCCCTGTAAGTAGAGGACATTGTAGATAACACTCGACTCTTATCATATTCTACTTTTCGCTGTCAGTAGAGGACATTGTAGATAACCCACGATTCTTACCATCCTCTACTTTTCCCTGCAAGAAGAGGACATTGTAGATAACCATCGATTCTTACCATCCTTTACTTTTACCTGTAAGAAGAGGACATTGTAGATAATCCTCGATTCTTACAATCCTCTACTTTTACCTGTCAGTAGAGGACATTGTAGATAACCCACGATTCTTACCATCCTCTACTTTTCCCTGTCAGTAGAGGACATTGTAGATAATCCTCGATTCTTATCATCCTCCACTTTTCCCTGTAAGTAGAGTACATTGTAGATAACCCTCGATTCTTACCATCCTTTACTTTTCCCTGTAAGTAGAGGACATTGTACATAACCCTCGATTCTTACCATCTTCTCCTTTTCCCTGTAAGTAGAGGACATTGTAGATAATCCTCGATTCTTATCATCCTCCACTTTTCCCTGTAAGTAGAGGACATTGTAGATAATCCTCGATTCTTACAATCCTCTACTTTTACCTGTAAGAAGAGGACATGTAGATAACCCTCGATTCTTACCATCCTTTACTTTTACCTGTAAGAAGAGGACATTGTAGATAATCATCGATTCTTACCATCCTTTGGTTTGATAGGTATACAGTAAAAGTTACTCTGTCCCCACCGAATGATAAAGTGTCCTTCCCATATTCAGTTCAGGTAGATTCAAAACAACCCACGCTCGGCAGTTCTTGCTATCTCAACTTCTATTATACGACAAGGAATCGCTGATAGAATCTAACGTATGTATTTCTATCAGAACCTATGCGGCTTTGCCGAGGGTGTAGACTTTGGTCAGAACCGAAGCTTTTCGAGGTTATGAGCCTCAGTTCTACACCCTAGACTGTCCCCATCCCACATACCTACAGTACGGTTGCCTGTTTTTCTCATCCTATTAACGGGGAATTTAGTAAAACTCGAAAATAATATTGTAAATGTCACAATGAATTTAGCAGGTTAGCTAGATATCGTAAAAACAATTTGAAAGACCAGGAAAAGGTATGGTACATGTATATCAAAGGTCCAAAGGTTTAAAATTAAACTGGTTTGGAAACCTTCACAGCAAGTTTGTTTATATATGGTTTACTTTCGTTGGGTGATATGAGAGACAGATATTGGCTGATTGCGAAGGCCCTATAACCACGGATATATATGTCAACCACGGATTTGTGAACCGCTTTGAGACGACCTACGATTGTGATAAAGCGGTATATAAGAACCACGGATTATCATTTATTATTATATAAATCTTAATATTTTGAATTCAAATAATTGTTTCATGTACTCCCTTGTCAGGATTTAGAACAAACATATAGTTCCTAAACTGGGTTCAGTCGGTGCACTATGCTAAACAGAGTAACCCTACAGTGGACAAGTGTATCTTGCTAACGCCGAGGTAGGAACAATATAATCTGTGTCCAGGTATAGCAGATATTGATTGGATGTATGGGGCTTTACGTCATATCAACAGCTAATGTCATTTAAGGACGTGTCTCAATGTGCATTCTGTCTGTGCAGGAGAGAGGGTATGTTGGGTTATTTTCCTCCTTGTGATGCCGACTTTATAGTGCTATATCACTGAAATAATATGTCAAAAGCACAAAGCACAGCATCCCTCCCGATCATATTATACTGACAATGGGTGAACCAGTTAGTGCCATTACCCTAAATGCTGAACGTTAAGCAGTACCATTTTTAAGGACTTTGTTGTGTCCCGGCCTGGGGACAAAACCCACTGCCTTCCTCACCCCGGTGAATGTTCAACATCAAAGCCAAAAGTGAGGTGTTGCCAAGCAAGGCGCTAGGAAATAAAACTTAGTTAGAAGTAGATATATATATAAAAATCCCAAATATTGCAATGGATGCAGCAGATTTATTTTGGTCTCTATTGTGTCCGAAAGTCGAGGACACTTAAACAAATCACCAATTCCGCAAGAGGGTAAGACAGAGAAATTTTATTTTATCTATAATGTGTTCAGGTGAAATGTCTTTGAAAGGTGAGAGAATAATATAAGCTTACATGGGTGTGGTCCGTGGACAGGGAAATCTCAACCCGAGGGGAAGAGTTTGGCTGTCCGGCACTAAGTTTTGTCGAGTGCTGGACAGCTGAATTTTACGCGAAGGTTGAGATTTCCCTGTCCACGGACCATACCCATGTTTGATTATTTTTCTCCCATACTCGAAATAACCATGCCAGTGTTAATACTCCGTGACCTTCATATGCTTGTATTACATCTTTTCTTCTTTAGAACTATTCCGTAACACATACTAACACGAGTACCACACTTTTACGGTACTGATCTCCCTCCCTTACTTGTTCCTGTTTTTACCATTCTCTTTGTTTTGACAGATCCGGTTCTCAAAGCCACAGACCAAACTGTTATCGACTACATAGCTGAAAAACTAGACGTCAAGGTTGAAGTAGTCGATAATCTACAAGACGAATCTATAGGTTCAATGCGCATGACTTTGACTAATACTGGTGTGCTCTCCATAGGTGCGTCAAGCTGGAACATCTATTTTGACAGTGTTCGACTTCTTCAACCAAACCATTACCCCTACCCTGAAGGAATAACGTTAACAGGGGTAGATCTGAGACTATACCACGTGAGCGGAAGTTTATACCGATTAATTCCAGAAACTTCGTTCAAACCGTTTTTGCCAGGGCAGAAGTTGTCGTTCCTGTACCAGGCGAAGTATTGGCAGGTGGCGCGCACAGACACCATGCCGAACATGTTCGTTGGGGGCGAAGGAATGGCAAGCAAGGTCATACAATCAACACAGGGAGAGCAGCTACAGTTTGTTGGTGATTTTACTACAAAGAATCAATGGAAAAGATTCGTATACGACCAGTATGATCCATTTCTTGCCCGCACGAGACACACAATAAACTCTGACGTCACAGATATGGGACATGCTGGGAAACGTTTAATCCCTACACCAGTTACTGAGTCGTTGACGGATGGGACCAAACTGACTGTCACGGCTGACTGGGTCGTAGTAAACTCAAGCCACTTTCCGCAGGAAAGCGCGTGTCTAGCAGGTCAGTCAATATACCTGTGTCACATCTGATATACCTTTGCATCCTTAAGGGGTGTAGATCATTTTGTATCACCAGTTTGGTGCTTGTTAAGGTATCACCTGTTTGGTGCTTGTTAAGGTATCACCTGTTTGGTGCTTGTTAAATAATCATTAATTTCACATTCAAGTGGCAATATTATATACATGAGAGAAAGTTTACGGGTAGATCGGGAATTATTTAAAGAATTATGATTGATTTGATTCGTGTTGTAAAGGAGATCGGGTGAGAAGTACGAATGAGAGGATGGGGCAAGTGATGACTTGTTTATGACAAGTTCAGGGGAGTGTGAAGCACACTTTGTTTGATTGGTGACACAATTGGAGTACATGGTTTCAGAACGTGAGTACATGGTGACAGAATGTGAGTGCATGGTTTCAGAACGTGAGTACATGGTGACGGAATGTGAGTACATGGTTTTAGAACGTGAGTACATGGTGACAGAATGTGAGTACATGGTGACAGAATGTGATAACATGGTGACAGAATGTGAGTACATGGTGACAGAATGTGAGTACATGGTGACATAATTTGACTACATGGTGACAGAATGTGAGTTCATGGTGACAGAATGTGAGTGCATGGTGACAGAATGTGAGTGCATGGTGACAGACTTTGAGTACATGGTGACAGAATGTGAGTACATGGTTTCAGAACGTGAGTTCATGGTGACAGAACGTGAGTACATGGTGACAGAATGTGAGTGCATTGTGACAGAATGTGAGTGCATGGTGACAGAATGTGAGTACATGGTGACAGAATGTGAGTGCATGGTGACAGAATGTGAGTGCATGGTTTCAGAACGTGAGTTCATGGTGACAGAATCTGAGTACATGGTTTTAGAATGTGAGTACATGGTGACAGAATGTGAGTGCATGGTTTCAGAATGTGGATGAATGTGATTTTTTTTTCTTAAACATACATTGTAATTGTGACATTTTACAGATATGTTCAACCTGTCGATCACCAGCACCAGACCATCTGCCAAGTATATTGAATACCAGAAGGAGGCAGTGCTTGTCAGAAATTCTGACATCGTACACTCTGAAGCTTACAAAGTTGCGATTGATGCTGAAAATGACGTCATCATATTAACAGCCAATCAAAATGCAGGAGCATTTTACGCAATGAAAACACTTCATGCACTGTCGAGCGCAATTCAGACTGGAAGAGAACTTCCGAATGGAACTGTGGAAGATGGCCCTCGTTTCAAATACAGAGGGATGCATCTGGATGTTGGACGCAATTTTCATTCAAAAGCCGCAGTTATAAAACTACTTGATGTCATGGCAACGTACAAAATGAACAAATTACATTTTCACCTTTCTGAGGACGAGGGATGGAGGCTCGAGATACCGGGGTTACCCGAACTGACAGATGTAAGTGCGATCTTTGGGTCGATAAAGAAGTGCATTTTATGTTTATATCATTATTTTCCCACAATCACGATATAATTACACGGGTTGATTTGAGTACAATTCTGAGTTCATTAAAGAAGTGCATCTGTTTGTGCCATTATATTTACCATTGTATGACATTGTCACTACACAAACCTACAACACTTGTATTTATAGAGGTTACACAACGAGTGGTTGTTGAATATGGTATTTATCTCACTCGAGTTAGTTAATTTTCAAAAGTTACAAAAGACACGAGCTTTAGCGAGTGTCTTTCTGTAACTTTTGAAAATTAACTAACGAGAGTGAAATAAATACCATACTCAACAACCACGAGTCGTGTGATCTTTTTCTACCACAATCTCATGATCAGTCGGAAATAACATACACACATGTGTATGTTGACAAGGCTGGCGTAGTGATATGACCCATATGTAAAAAGTCACTGATTAATATTAAAAAATGACTTCTTTTTTTACAAATTAAATTATTGTCAAAATTAATGTTTCGGCAACAACTTAATGAAAAAATAAAATAGATGAACGACTTTAAATATTGAGAGTAGCAGTATTGCATTAATTTATATAAATTAACCACGGACTACATGCGTGTAAGCATACCGTACGAAGTCTGCCTCCCGCCAAGTGATGAAACCGTTGTAGACGAACTTATCGCTGTCAATAGCCAAAACCATCTTCGTGACGGTTCTATGGTTGACGTTTATAGTGAAAGTTCAGCCATAGTCAGACCGTCTAAATAGCGATAACGGGACGTAGGGAGAACGAAATATGTCCCGACACTGTGACAGATCGATCTTGATTTGTTTCACGACCTGGACACGCGACGGTGTGACGTTGAAACGGTATCGAGCGTCTGTAGCAATTTTGCCTGAAACTAGCGATCAAATCTTTAAGTATCATCTTTTGATATTGCCTTAATAACCCCTTTTTCCGCATAACCTCACAAAGTCACCAACATTTGTCAAATGTTGACAGCCGACGACGTAAACAAAACAGCAGGTGGCAAAAAGCACGTGGAAAAAGTCTTCCCGGTCAAAGTTCATCTTCTCGACCAATCAAAACTCTTATTTCATATTTATCTAACAGTCTGCGTGTTTATACAATGATCTGAGAGTGGAATAACACAGCGTATTGTGGTAGAAATATAGATTTTGAATGCCATGAGCCGATTGTTGATGTCATCATTTTATGACGCCGTAATTGTTATATGTACGTTGGATATACTTGACCATCACCGGGCAGAGGCCGTTCTATTTATTGAACCAACAGATACGACAAGGAACAAAAAATGGTAAATTTAAAAATTGAGCTGCTTTCAGTTGGAGTTAATAGGCCGTATACGAGTGCACACTGGTCAGAAGTAAATCAAGCATGAACGCTTCAATGAATTTGCCTCTGTCCAGTTGGCATTGCTATTATATACGAATGCCAAATGGTAGCAATTCAATGCTTAAATGTTCCCAAGATTGCCGCTGTATAAATACATACATGCATCTCTTTTTATATTCCGTAGGTTGGCTCCAACCGGTGTCACGATGAAGCCGAAGTCAATTGTATCGTACCACAACTGGGCTCAGGACCTAACAAATCCACCTCCGGTTCTGGATACTACAATGTGTCTGACTATAAGGAGATACTTACAAGCGCCGCCGAGCGACATATCATGGTCATCCCGGAGTTTGATATGCCCGGACATATACGCGCAGCCATTAAAAGTATGGAGGCCCGTCGTTTGAAATTTCCAACAAACGAAACTGCAGCGAAGGAATATATTCTTACAGAAATAGGTGATCCGTCAGTGTATCTCAGCGTTCAGATGTTTACAGATAACGCGATGAATCCCTGCCTCGATTCAACTTTTAGATTCACAGAAAATGTGATAACAGAAGTTATTAAAATGCACAAAGACATCCAGCCGTTGCAGATGTTTCACTTCGGCGGAGATGAGGTAGCGAAAGGGGCGTGGTTAAACTCCTCCGCCTGTCAATCATTTATGGCAAATACCAATGATATCAGTAGCCTGTCGGATCTCCCAGAATACTTCGCGAAAAGAGTAGCCAATCAGGTGGCAGCACGGGGTATTAACGTCGGTGCCTGGGAGGACGGTCTAATGAAGAGTGCAAATGACCCGTATGACAGAGCCATGCTGCCCAACAACATCGAGTAAGTACAATCTTACAAGTCAAAGTCTCTGAGACATTAGACTGAGATCATGACAAGCTGGGCAGATTTTAACAAACGGACTTGATTACGTATATATATGAAATATATCAAGGTTCCGAGGTTATAGGAGAACTAACAGGGAATGGGCTTATGTAGAGTATCGGGTTATCAATTACTGTAAGCGCACATATTTTTGTGGTATTCTGGTTTTAGCGCTTTTCGTGCTTCTTGGGCTAAATTATGATTGCGCCAATCGAAGTTCCTGTATAGAGTTTGCAGATAGTTTAAGTGCGCTATTGTGCTAATGTGCTTAAATTCAATGATACGCTAAATTTTTCATTCGCTAACTTTAGTTATATACTTACAGTAGTACTTACATGAGCTACAAAGTCGTGGTTTGACGGAAATGTCATCGTCATTACGCATGTGTATTGTTACGTTTCAGTGTGTACGGCTACGCGTGGGACAATGTGTGGGAGTGGGGCGCGGCCGGGCGAGCCTACCATTTGGCCAATGAGGGCTACAAGGTAATGGACAGATCATTGTTGTTTTCCTCATTCTCTGATCAAATTTATTGTTTATCGTGCGCTGTTATGTCAATAAACCCGTTTTTGTCTATATTAATTTAATCACTTTTCATGTTCCCTCACGATTGTTGCATCACGTGATTTACTGATCAGTATGTGATAATATATACATACAATATTCTCTCAACAGGTGGTGCTGGCGCATGCGACACATCTATATTTTGATCATCCGTACGAACCTGACCCGGAGGAGCGAGGCTTTTACTGGGCTACACGTTACACGGACACGCGCAAGACGTTCGGCTACATACCTGATAACTTTTATATGAACGCAGATGTCAAAAGGTCAGGGGAAAGCCTAACACAGGAGGAGATATGTGCGGGCCCAGTGTGTCCGACACTTACGAAACCAGAGAACATCGAAGGTAAGTTATAGAAGCGTGTATCTGTGTCATATACATAGCTGTACTTCCAAGTCCCTGTGTATGAGTATACGTAGGGGTTGAACGTTGCCGGAATGAACGCAAATCTGTTACATCCGTATGGACTAACGGCTTCATGTTTAATATTGATATAACCGATTTGCGTTCATACCGGCATGAACAATTTAAAAATGCCGTTCAATCCATATATTTACATTTTTACTATAGAATAATTGTCTAATTTTATTTATTTGTTCTTAAATGATTTATTTATTTACAGCGTTGCATATGCGTCGTCCTTTAAACGGCATTGGCGGAACAGCCCTATTAAAATAAAATTGGCGCAAATAATTAAACATAGTAATTTGAGCTTTTGACGCAGGGGCATTATCCATGTTATCCAAAGCGAAGCGACAAGACTCTCATTGAACAAGGTTGATCTACGACGTCATAAGTAAATCGAGAGTTTTTGCTTTCATACTCAAATGAAATGCATTTCTGCTGGTAATGTCCATATAGTCGGTTGCAGCGTAAATGGTAACATAGGTATATGACTGTTATAACATATGTTACAGGTATACAAGGACAGTTGTGGACGGAAACTGTTCGTACAGACGAACAAATGGATGAGATGATTTTCCCGCGCTTGTTGGCTCTCGCAGAAAGAGCATGGCATAAGGCACCGTGGGAGGACTTGGAGGATAAAACAGCAAGAAACGCTGGACAGAAGACGGACTGGATCGAGTTTGCAAATACCCTAGGCTATCGGGAGTTATCTGTCCTTGACTCTAGGGGCGTTAAATACCGGGTGCCGCCTCCAGGGGGCATGTAAGTATCTAACGAGGGGGTTATTGTGTTTTAAGTCATGTCAGTCATCATGTTGCTGCTCAGTCCCTTAAGATGATTAAATGTGAGTTGATGTCAAAAAGCATTTACACGGTATTTGTGCCAGTAACAATCAACGAGTATGTGTAGTCGATCATTTAATGACGTCACTGTATTGCGATAAGACAGAGTGAAAACTGATATACACAAACAAACCACGTGACAATTACATCGGAAGTAAAGGCGGAAAATTGTACAGCAAATCGATATTTTACATTTATGAAAGAATTACCACACATATAGATGAATCGTTTGCAAGTAATTGTCTTTTACATTGAAATCACTCATAATTACTCTATAACATTCGTCAGTAACAGAAAATTTTGTTGGTACGTTTCTTTTAATAATTCTTACTCCCATTTAGGTTTTATTGAAGCAGGTGTTCCTGAGGGTTCGGTTCTTGGACCTCTTTTATTTCTTATTTATATAAATGATATTGCTGATTTTTGAATCAACCGCTCGTCTATTTTCAGACGATACTTCTTTGTTAAAATCATCCTCTTCATGTCTAGAAATCCAAACGGTCTTGAATAGAGATCTCGAGTCTCTAAATGCATGGTCCCAAACTTCGTTAGTAACATTCAGTCCAGAAAAAAACTGAGGTAGTTTTTGTTTCAAACTTGGTTGAAATTGGTGAAGATTTAGAATTAGAATTTAATGGCGAATTTTAAAAAATTACTGATCATCATAAGCATTTAGGTGTAATTTTTGATTCAAGGGCAAAATGGGGGGATCATATTTGTGCAATATATATTTCAGTTATGAAAAAAATCAATGTCTTACGTAGACTAAAATACTTATTGAATCGAGATAATCTTTTAAATATTTATAAATCCTTTATTTGACCAGTTTTAGAATATGCTTGTGAATTGCGGGATGGTTGTACAACTTACATTTTATGAATCAGAATTGTTAGAGAACGCCGAAAGAGAAGCAATTCGTATTATAACTGGACTTCCTTCATATGCCCGAATTGAAGGTTTACTTTTTGAAACTGGTCTCGAAACTCTTTCGAATCGAAGAAAACGCAGAAACTCCAACTTTTGTACAAAATGCACAACAAATTAACTCCGGACTATTTAAATGATCTATTGGCGTCTACCGTTGCAGAAAATAACCGTTACACCCTTAGAAACAATAATGATTATAGAGTTCTTCCTTTCAGGCTTTCTCTAACAAATTCATCTTTTATACCTTCAACTCGTCGAAGTTGGAATTCATTGCACCTTTCAGTAAGATCATTGACTTCTATATATTCTTTCAAAAACGTTAACTTCAAATGTACAATCTCCTCCACCAATTTTATTCAGTTTCGGTTAACGTAAATTGAACATTATGCATGCAAAACTTACACATCAGTGTAGTCCACTTAACTATGATCTTTATAGGGTAACTCTTGTAGATAGTTCAGTTTGTTATCATGGCCATCTCTGTGAAAATGCCTTTCACTATTTTTGTGAGTGTTTACTTTTTAACAACGAAAGACGCATCCTGCTCCTAAATTTGAATGCCTTGCATGTTGATTTTAGTTAACAACTATTTTTGTTTGGAAATACTTAACTCTCGGTTGAAATCAATACAACATTTTTTAGACAAGTGCATCTCCAGCAATAGGTTTTGACAACTATAAATATTTTCCTCATTGCTATTTATGTGTGTACGTTGTGGTATGTGTTTATGCAATAGCATTTCATTATTTTGCCTGTTTTCTTTGTTACATTGATTTTGTTCATTAAGAAGTTACTCTACCAGTCTGCATGTCATGAAATTTGTAAAATTTATAATTTATTCAAATACAGACAAAAATATTGTAACACTATACACATATCGTATCAATTAACATTATAATACTGTGATTGATGGTTCTAGGTCTAAAGACGGACATCTCGTGGTGAACTCTGCCTTCCCTGGTCTACTGATAGAGGTCAGCACTGACAGTGGGAAAACATGGAAGGAGGTCAAAAGATCAACCACGGTCACGCCACGGTCATCAATTCTGTTACGAACAAAGTACGTATGCCGAAATGTTCAATTACATCAAGGCTTTGTATGTGTCACACTTGGGTAACAGTTTTCAGAAACAGTGTACTTTTAAATAACACCCGCAATACGTCATAGACCGTTTTAGTATCTTTATTGAAATATTTTAAATCAAAATTGCATGTTATTTGACTTAATACAAAATTAGTCTACAGAACGATTTAATGCAAATATTCCTCTTGACAACGATAGTATTTTAATGTGAAATAGACGATTTCCAGTATTTAGGAAATAATCCTTGTCTAACTCATCAATTTGAAATGTAATGATGAAAACTTACTTTTGCCGATATTTTTCAGTTGAAATATTTAAAAATTAGTATGCACTGATGCGCAGTTCATTAAATGTGTCTCAAGATCGAGTTTTTACATCCATGAAATCGACAAAGGCAATATTCAATCCCATTATAGCAATATTCCTTTGTGAGGTGAAAGTGAGTCTCTAATATTCTGCAAACATTAGGTTCTTGGTCATTCTAATGCGTTACTAACACTACTAAAGGTTTAGAAAACTGTTACATAGGACAACCGACTTAATATCTGTTAATTGTAATATTTTCAGGTCGGCCGACTCCCAACGTACCAGTCGCGAGGTGTTCCTGACAGATTTGTCAATCCAGACATCCGGGTCTACGATTCCATTCATCAACGTCATCAGTGTCTTAACTTGTATCATAGGCTGCGTACTGCAGACATTTCTTTGATTTGACCAACCTTTTGCGATTTGCTGGGATGTGAAAGTGTCGAAAACATTGACAAACTTATTGTGGTTTGTCGGGGGTGAAAGTGTCGAAAACATTGACAAACTTATTGCGGTTTGTCGGGGTGTGAAAGTGTCAAAAACACTGACAAACTTATTGTGGTTTGTCGGGGGGTGAAAGTGTCGAAAACATTGACAAACTTATTGCGGTTTGTCGGGGTGTGAAAGTGTTGAAGGTTGTGACAACCTTTACGCGATTTGTCGGAGTGTTAAAGTTTTAAAAACGACAAACTTATTGCGGTTTGTCGGGGTGTGAAAGTGTTTAAAACAACGACAAACTTATTGCGGTTTGTCGGGATGTGAAAGTGTTAAAAACAACGAAAAACTGTGAAAGTGTTTTAAACAACGACAAACTAATTGCGGTTTGTCGGGGTGTACTAGTGTGACGTGAAATGTAGTTGATTCTCGTTAACCCGAACACAGCGTGGACTGTCTAGGTTACCGAGTTTCACTTCTTGTTTTTGTATGTAATATATTTTAAACAGATATATGATATACCTCTTCATTGATTTTATATTATCGTCTATTTTTGTACCTTCCAATCATCGAACAAATGACTCTGTACAGAGGTTTTCTATCACCATATCACCAAGTAAGGCTTGCCAACGTGTTAGTTATAATATATATTGTAAAACAATGAATGCCATCTATTGAACCTACTATTCGGGACTCTTCCTGAGTATTTATATATCTGTGTTCAGAATACGATTTGCAATATTTATTATATACGGACTCTTGAACTTTCTACACATTTTCTTCATGTTGGTAAGTATGGATCATACAAAATTCTTTTTACGCAACCAATGTTAGTTTCTATGTGACGTTTCGATGGCTAGTACGACATATACACTGTCGCCTTCATCAGACAAATTACCAGTGAAGCGTATGAACACAAAGGTGTAAAATGTGAACGAGTTGTCCACAAAATCGATGTCGATTCGGCTACACTGCAAGCGTATGTACAAAATATGTATAAACAAAGCGTAGCTGAATCAAGTCATTTCGGTACATATAAAACAACTATTGAGCCTGTCGAATCCGGACTAACGGTATGTACGGAGAAGGTGACTGCGAACTATTTGTATAAAGAGGTCAATACCTGACTATTGATGTTCTACAGTGTTCAACAGATAAGAATAAAGTAAGTTCATAGAACTGTTATCAATATCTTTGTTTTCATTTAGCATTTTGTATTAGTGACGCCATCAACCATCAAAACGAGAGAAACGTAATCTTATCTTCATTTCGAAGTAGTTTTTTGTATGTTATTTTCCCCAACGCTAATAATAAGTACTCAACATTTAACAATTTATTGACAAGAATTTTGTCCTTTTCTGATTTAAAAAGTAAGTGATTGGAATATACTGTCCCGATGGTTACCATGGCAACTGGGCAATTGTAAATTTATCAGTATGATTCAATGTCACTTTTCTGACAAAAATGGCCATTACAACCCATTGCTTCGATTACGAGTATGTAGTTGATTGGTAGTGCTGTGGTGAACATAACTTAAATTATCCTTACATCCTACCTTTCTTTTTACAGAGATATTTCTGCACCAAAGCTTGTAAAGAAAAACAGTGATCCATGGTTGAATATCCAGTTCTATAACCAGCCTGTTCCTCGTGAAATTTTTGTTCTATTTCTGCCCAGAAAATTAAACGATTATTTAAAAAAATTGTAAATATTTTCCCCATAACATTTAAAAGCGAGATACCTCTGTAATTGTCTGGTAAATTTACATCACCCTTTTTGTGAATAGGATGTATAATTGCTTTACACCAGTCAATAGGGAAAACCCCACACTCCAATATTTTGTTAAACAAACCACAGAGACACTTAAGTACATCATCAGTTCCATATTTAAAAAGTTCAATCACTAAACCATCTTCACCAGGAGCTTTATTTAATTTGAATTGGTGAATGGCTCTCTTTATTTCTTCTAGTTCTATGTCAGTATCTAGTAATTCGTTGTAAGTATGAGTTTCTGCACTGAAATGTTCATCTAATGTGTCATGTACATTTTGCATAAAAGTTTCTTCCACAGTAAATTTTGCTGAATTTAATAAGTTTTTAAAGTAATTAAACCACTGTCCTCCTGTTATTGAGTTATTATTATTTGTACTCTTAAAGCTTTTTAGCTTTTTCCACATATCATTTGGGTCCTTTAGAGAAAGCACTTCCTCCGCTTGGTTATTTTTGACCCGTGTCTGTTTTACTTTGCACACTCCCTTGAATCTTTTCTTCGCACTTTGGTACCGTCGTAGATCATCATCCAAGTTGGACCTCCTAAATACATTTAATAGTTCATATTTCTCTTTTTTCAAATATTCACACTCATTTTCCCACCATTTCGGTTGAGTATTAAGTCTGTAAGTTTTTCTCTGCATACATTTGGCAGCATGAGATACAATTTCACATAATGTTGTCGTTGCACTATTTATATTATTACGTAGGTTCTCCCAAAATTTGGAAAAGAATTCCTTAGAAAGCTCACTTTCTAGATTTATAACAAATTTATCCTTACATGCCTCATTCCATTTAAAACGCTTTCTTTCCGTAAATGAATGATCAATATGTTGTGCATCAATTAAAGAGCTACCTACACTCCACACTAACGGAAAGTGGTCTGATATGTCCCACGTTTCCACTATCATATTTGAAATATTTTCAAAAATATATGATGAAACAATTACATAGTCAATTACACTTTTCCCAAGATGGGATATAAATGTATACTCTCCAGAGTTATCTCCCATTGTACGTCCATTTAAAATATGAGTATCTAACTTATTACATAACTCAATAAGCGATTTACCATAAGTATTTGTGTTTAAATCCTTAGATAATCTTATCTTGCTAAATGGAATATCTTCTACATTTTCTCCCAAAGGGAGATATTTCTCACTTTCTCCAAAATCTTGCATTTCACCAGTTCTTGCATTAAAATCACCACACAATATAATCTGTACATCATCTTCTATATTATCTAGTATATCAATTATTTCTTCTTCAAGGATTGCTATACCATTTTGTTCTTTTTCTGTATAAAAACTTGAACCACTTGGAGGTATATATACTGAACATACCAGTACATCTTTTTCAAATCCAAACATTTCCTTGTCAAAAAGTATACTTACACACATCTTATATTTATCATGAACAGACTTAATAAATTTGTCCATGGATTTTTTAATAAATACGCTTATACCATGTGGAGTAGCTCCATACTTGGATTTCTTTTCACCATAGTTACAAAAAATATTAAATTGAGCAAAAATACCCTCACAATCTTCCTTGCAATTTGCCCATGTTTCACATAAGGAGATATAATCAAAGTTCATCAACTTATTTACAATATCAGTTCTGATTCTCAAATTGTTCAATCCACTAATGTTCCAAGAACAAAATTTTAGTTCTTTGTGGTGCCGCGTAGTTATACTTTGGCTACGGCCATCCCGTCATCCTCCAAAACTTGAGTTCCCGTCATTTTGTCTGCGATCGGTTACAAGATATACTTCGCTTACACAGGTGTCATATTTATAAATATTTCTCCCAGCTGTAACTTTATCATAATTTAAAAACACTTTCTTTCCAGGATTTTCAGTCTTTATGCTGGGTATCGCGTCCAGTAGTTCCTTTCTAATATTTCTCAGTTCCTGGCTGTAGTCTTCCGAAACCCTAGTTTTCCCTTTATAACCACTGTCTTTCGATAGTTTTTCTTTCACCGCGTTTTTTACCCTCTGTTTATGTTTCCACCTTCCGAACTTTACTATTATTCCTCTTGCCTTACTATTTGGTCCTACTTTCTTCCTTCCCAGTCTGTGTGCCCGTTCTATCTCTATTTCTCTATCATCACCAGCTTCCTCTAGACCTAGCGTTTCAATCATACAATCGCGCACTTTCTTTTCACATTTTTCCCAGGTCTCAAACTCATCGTCCTCATCCAGGCCCCAAAAAATCATGTTATCTCTCCGACTCTGGTCTTCTAACACCCTAACTTTTGTTCTAAGATCGTCATTTTCCCATCTTAGATAGTCCATCTCAACTTTTAAGCTGTCTCTTGTTTCATGTATCCCCTGTTGTAACATTTTTGTAGAGTCGGCTATTTGTTTCGACAGTCTCTCAAACATTTCACCTACGTTTGTTGTCTCCCTGTCCCGATCCCGATCGCCGGTCTCAAGGTCATATCGCCACCTTCTGACCCTAGCCTGGTCTGTCTTCTGTCCTGATCGGCCCTATGTTGTTGACCTCTGCTTTGTCCACCCCGAGAATGTGGTCCTGGGTTTGTCTCTAGTCCGCCATCACCAGCAACATCTCCACAAAAATCACCACATTTCTCCGCCATCTTGCTTTCACGTGCACACACGAGCCCCACACACCGGCCACCCGCGATTTCCTCCATTGGTTTGGCTGGGAGTTGCAGCCAATTCTGGACCTCCACGTTGCAATGTCAACTCCCATTTTGCTATTTGCGGTCCTAACACCTCACTCCAACTGTTTACTTTCCTTTCTACCGCCTTTCCCTTCCTCACCTAACTCAGGCCGATCTACCCTGTCGCCATTTTAAACTAACAGATATAAGACCCTATCCCCACTCTCCAAATCTCTACCATAACTCTCAAATTCCTATATCAAATAGTACCCCTATACAACAACCATGACCAACCAGGTACATGTTATAGTGTTAAAACCCGATATCAGGGATAGTTATACAAGGCCGTATAAAAACAAAAAAGGGGCCGTCTCAGATATACAGGAGTATGTAGGGGTATCTCTTATTACATTCCTGCCCTCGGGCTTCATTATGATTATTTGCATGACAGCCATGTAGAACCAACCGCCCCCCAACCCAAACCTCCTCACCCGATACGGACCACCCTCCAACCTAAACCTTCTCACCAGATACGGACCGCCCTCCAACCCAAACCAGAGACAAACGACAGTTGTTAGAGCTACAACAGCCTCGTTATTTGACATGTCGTCAGATCCTGAGAAACCGTGGCTGATAGACGCGTGATAACGACTGACTGATAGATGCGTGAAACGACTGAAGAAGAAGAAGAAGAAGAAGAAGACGTGTATGACCTTGCGACACAGCGTGGAACAGCTGACGGTGACTCAGGAGGAGTCAAACAGGAAAGTGCGCCACTCAGTGCTTTCTTTTGTGATGTTGACGCGGTCTTGTTATATGACCGGAGTGAGAATTCGTCATTCAAACCTTGAACGTTTTTTGGGTTTCATTCGTGTCAGTTGGTTCAAAATCAATGTCTGCCTAGTTAACGTTTGTTAAAGTTTCATTCCCGCTAGATGAGAACGATTCGCCGAAAAAGTCCAGCAAATCCAATGGAAACGTGCGATCTGTCATGAGTGATATAGATTTTATAGATTTAATGGTTTTAGTCAACAATTAGAAAGATGTATAGGGGTTATTTCCCTTTATACGTTTTTCTTTAATGTTGACTAAAACCAATATGGTATATCTTTAATTGTTAAAATATTTATACACAGCAAAGTTACACCTCTTATTAATAAAAAGGCACAACTCAAAATTTAACCACGTTAACCTGCATATCAAAATCTGTTATCTTGAGAGGTTACTTCCCATTAAATAACTAATTTCTTTATTAACTTTTTAATGTAGGAAATATGAAATTATGGTTATGCGACTCAATATATATTTTCATGAATAGTTATATTGTTTTGAGGGTTAAGTACATGGATCTGAGTTTCAAAGAGCGGGCATAATATTTTCATATGGAAATGGCTGCGGTTTCTGTAGTGTCTTTTATTTTTATTTATTTTATTTTGAAGTGATTTTGTATGAACAACAGGCTAATTACAGTCGAACCTCGTTATCTCGAAGTTGACGGGATAGTTGGGAAACTTCGAGTTATCCGAGTATTCGAGTTAAGCGAGTTCCTATGTTTGG